CTCCAGCCCAGGAGACCCACAGCGCACTCTGCTGGAGAAAGGTGGTGAATCTCCAGATCCCAACAGTCCAGAGTTTGGCCCCTGGTCCCAGGACCTTTGCCATTTGCCTCTTCCCTCTATTCTAACCCTATCTCCTTTCAGCAACCTGTCAATTAAAACAAACTACTGCCATAATAATCCAACTTAGTTGTGTCCTCTAGACAGTTTGTCCATTTCAGTGGTTATAAATGTAGTTGTAATATACTCATTCCATCTTTTTACAATAAACTGTGCTGTTGCTTTAGGCCTTTCCCCAACTTAATCTCTTGCATCAAAAAAAATCTTTACCTTTTTCTAACACACACACACTAATCTAATCAAATAAAATGTATTTATGTATGTATGTATTTAAATATAATGTGTTTTTGCAAATCACAGCATGAAGAAATTTCAAGAATTATGATGCAAGCTCTATCGAGTATTTGCTCTATCCCATAGGAATGATGGAGGCCCCACCAACATGAATCTTACCAGTTACACACGCACTGATCCAAAGGTCAAACTGAACTGTCTTCTTTTCCCCCAGATTTCTTGGTAGAACAAGACAATGACTTCTGTGTATGTGAGACGCCGTGCAACATGACCAGGTACAGCAAAGAGCTGTCCTTCGTCAAGATCCCCAGCAAAGCATCAGCCAAGTATCTGGCAAAGAAATACAACAAAACAGAGCAGTACATTAAGTAAGTATGATAATAAAACTGATTTTGGTTTCTGACTTCTCCTTTTTAAAGTGTATAACTGAGAAAGATAAATTATTTTATTGCATTCCCGTTTTCTTATGTTATAATATTTTAGGATGTTGCTGTACTTCAAAGTCTAATAGAGTGTTTTTTATCATATGTTTATCTTGTTTGGACAGGGATAACATTTTGGTTTTGGACATCTTCTTTGAGGCTCTAAACTATGAGACTATTGAACAGAAGAAAGCATATGAAGTGGCCGGCCTTTTAGGTATTGCTAATAATTTGTCATCCTGTATGAAATATGTTTTTTATGTGTAATCTTGTGCTGTGCGTGTTGGATAAACTCTTTTTCTCTTATTTAAGGTGACATCGGTGGTCAGATGGGGCTCTTTATTGGGGCTAGCATTCTGAGTATTCTGGAGATTTTTGACTACTTGTATGAGGTGAGAAAGTGTTTTCAGACACATGGAGGAATCTAATGGTCAATAAAAATGTTGCTCGTAATAATTAAAATGGTAAATCGTGCAAACTTTAGATATATTTAAAATAACATGAGATAGAGAAAAAGAAGTCTGATTGTGTAATAACAAAATAATAACATAAAATTAAGAAACACTCAAATATTTTAAACATCTGATGGTGTTGTTGAGACTTCTCTATTAACCCCTTCAGGTGATAAAATACAAGCTGTGTCGCTGTTCTGATAAGAAGCACAAACACAACAGCGCTGACCAGAGAACAGTCCTGAGCTTAGATGACGTCAAGTGTCACGTCAGTAACTTTCACTAAGCCTCTGCTTTCTGGAGGAGGGAACGTCTGCAAGACTTTGCTGCTGCAAGAGTAGAGGATGTGTGGATGAAAGAACTCTGCCTGGTTAGGCTTTACTTTCTCAGTGAGTGGCCATATGCATAAAGGAAGTTGAAGTTCCACAGACATTGAACAAGCTTCAGATACCAGAGATCAACCTGATCTGAAGATAGATCAACTGCATGGTCATCTGTAAACAACTTCTAAAGAAGTAGCAAGGAATGCAGCGAAATGTGCATCATCTAAATGCAGATTTTAAATGTGTACTGTGCTGTGGTGTTTTTATCTGTCAGAGTGATTAGGCTTCATGTAAACTGATTGTTGAATTGCAAGAATTTTTCTGAGTCCCACACTGGCCCTGTTGCCTTTATTCTCCTATTTTTCACCAGAGAAAAAAAAATATATTCTTTGTCCTTAAAAGCATCTTTCCTGTATATACCCTGCCAAAACACTTTACTACCTCAGCTTATGTGCAACATTGCCACTGAGTTTTTAGACATAGCTAAACTGACCATTATTAGGATAATCTTTTCCTGAAAAAGTAAAACATAAGTGGCTACAAATCTGCAAGAAGGCCAATCCAACAATAGGCATACTGTTAAGGTTCTTCAGTTTCATAGTTTATTGCAGTTTGATTTAAACCTTCTGGTGATGGATTTGTATTTTTTGTGCCTTTTAAAGTTACTGTAGGCGCTTTCTTTTTTTTTCTTTACATTTCATGATTTTCATACAAAATGAACAATATTATCGTGAAGTTATTGCTTTGACTGCGGCGCCTTTTCTTAAACTATCATTCTTCTTTACCCGCATGCGCCTCTTTGCCCCCTATTTGCTGTTTGCCTCGCATGAGATTTCCACGCATGCCAGGTGCTTTTGTCGTTGATTTTGATGTGTTTCTGTAACAGCGCCACCAAAAGGCCCAGCATACATCGTACAGCACCTTCAGTGGTGCTAATTGAAGGACTTTTTTTCCTTTATTGTTAATGAAAAGATACCATGTCTTTTTTTTTGTGGACCTCGCCTCATTGTTAAACAAATTTGTGAAGTTGAAGATCAAGATATATATCAACAAGTTACTATTTTCCTGTAGAATTTCCAAATAACAAAGATTATTAGGGATGCCAATAGTTGTAGTTCCAATGACTTTGTTCAAGGAGCTTGCTGAAAATGTTTGTGTTTTATCCCTCATATAAAATTTATTTAAATTAGAGGTCAGATTGTTCTCATATTTTGAGTTTGAAATGTATTCTATTGCACTCAAAGATTTATTTATCTTAAGGCTTTTTACTTTTTCACCAGAGGTGCCAACAGTTGTGAGGGGGGGCATGCAGAGAAAGATGTCCGCAATGCATTCATCTAACAGTTCAGAGCTCTGGTTCTCAAGCTTATAACAAGTAACACCTCGGGCTCTACAGTAGTGCAACTCGAATGAACTTATTCAGTTTGCATTGATTTTTAAAACAAAAAAAGAATAGAAGAAAATTATATAGATTCTCAGTATTTTACCTATGTCTGTTTAGTTGAAGGGAGCAGATTAATGATACATTCAATTTTGACTGAGAGTTCAAAACGTTCAATTTCCAGCATATAAAATTAGACAGGAAGTAAACTGTAGTCAGCAACCTGCGAGAAAGGGGGAATGTTTCTTACTATTTCTTCCCAATAACCTAAACAGTTAGTCTTTAAAATGCAGTAATAATTACATTAATAAACTGTTCATTTCATATCGGACATGTCGTGTTCCATTAGACAATTAGTACCACACAACATATGTTAATATCTCCTTTTAGAGTTGTGACATACATAAAAAGTAAAGAAGCAACCTGTCATTAACTTGTGTTGCTAATAGTAATATGATTTTCACTGAGACAAGCCATTACTGCAGCATAACCTTCCTTGTTATGCTGCATACATGTTATAGGTAAACAAGTAAGCACTTACATTTGCTGGTAGTTCAGTAGAGCCTGGAATTAGCCTTGTGTTTGTAAATGGTTAATACAATTAAAAGGAAGCCAAGTACTATCCTTTGTATTTGTGACACAGTTTGAGAACCAAGGCTTCAGAAGCCAAAATACAGAAGTGGGTGTTGTATTTCAGCCCCAATGCCCATATCTGCAGGTTGGCATTTGAATCCTCTGTAACTCTGACCCAACCTAGTGCTATAAGATTAGCAGTTCATACCTTCTATTAGGTAAATCCTCAATGCAATCAGCCTTCTACTGATGGAGGTCAAATATGACTTCAGTTGAAATAAGCACTAGAGAGGCGATCCCTCTGTCATGCTGCAGGCTCTTTCAATATCATGCAGGTAGCGTTTTTTTAAGGATAGCTGCTCAGTGGTCAGTTATTAACATTAGGTCGTTGCAGGTTTGGTTCTTTGTAATCTGGGACCGTTGTAGACAAAGTGGCTTTTGATTTGGCCACACCAAAACAATAAAAACCTGCATATAAAAGATACAAGACCATTAAACATGCAGATGGTAAATCTAGTCAGTAAAAAGAATACAGGATTGGATATCATTCCTAAATAACATCTTTTGGAGCTTTTCCTAAATTTGAGTCATTCTGTAAGTGTACAAAAACATTACTACTAATATAGTATGAAATATGTGTTAAAAAAATATGTCAATCATAATGAAAAACAATCAGAAAAGAAGTTAAAATAAAAATCGGCCGCAACAAATGAAATAAAAATAAAAATTCATAAGTATGTATTTGTAGATGCCACATACTGTGAAAAATTGCCCTAAAACTGAAGGGTAACTGTAAATCCCCAAACAAAAACAAAAAAAAAACTATTTAAATGGGAAAGATACATTTCTCATATCAAGTAACTTTTAGTAAATATAACAGAGAGAGACCACATCAATGAGGATGAATATAGTGAATGTGCTTTTCCATCTTCTATAGGGCTCTGACATGCATGTATAAGTGCACAGCAGGTTTTCTAAAAAAAAATGAGCACATCAATCATTTGTGTCCTCTTTCTGCTGCAGTATGCTCAATGATATTTGTACCATATGTCCTGACATTGCTTAGGCCATGGAAAGGTAAAGCACTGGAGGGGGAAAGGAGGTATATGCTGCCCTCTGTTAGCCTGCAAACATGAATTTCTGCTCTGTTTCCATCTTAAATGTTGCATCTTAGCTGAGCTTGATATAAGCTCCAGGAAAAAGGAATGTGTAGCTGTGTTGTGTTTGCATCCAGCTCAAACAAACTGTCAGTTGTAAGTTGATGTAAATACTGCTGTGACCGTGAATAATAGCCCTATTGTATTAGTGCCATTTGAGTTGGGTTTATTTGACACAGGCTAGCTGTGTGTCTCTGTTTCCTGTACATAAGTCTTGATGATTTATTTATCTTTAGTATATGGTATATGGAAAAGCTTCATCTTTTTTATTTGCTTTGTAATAATGAAAACAGATATTTTCATTAATGTAAGTATAAATATCTTCAGTTTTGGTTTTTTCAGTTTCACAACCTCATGAATCTCTCAGAAAGTTCACAGGACTGTGACTATTGTTTTTATTTCCTGAATTTATTGTAAGCTTTAGATTTGTGTTTAAAAAGTGAAGGAGTGTTGTTTTTGTTTGTAGCCCTTTGAATGAAACAGATTTGCAGCAGTATATTTATTAAAGATGATATGCTAACTTTATATATCTGATTTGTCATTTCTTGTGTTACTTACCCCTTTTTCACATTCATTTTTCCTGCATGCTGTCTTCAAGGTGTTTTATCGTGATTCTTCAAGTCAGAGCTTCTTTGTGAAGAGAAAGAGAAAACTGTAGATTTATTGTTTTGCAAATATGAATTGTTATCAACCTGAATAGTTTGTATAATAAAAAGGCTGCAGATACTTTGGGTTATGTGTTTGCTGAATTTATACATTTATAAGACATCTGCCTATATTTTTAAAATGGAATTGACTGGATAAACTGCATTTGTTAATATTAATCTTCAAGTCAAAATACAGATTCACAGATCAATTTATGCTTTTTTTTCTTCTAAGGTTGGTTAAATTGAATTTTATGTATAACTTTAAATATGTTTTTTTCTTTTTCAAGAAATCTACTTTTAAAATGGAAAATTGGATTAAGTGTAACCAAACTTCTCCAAGAAACTAAAACAGGAGGAAGTATTTTAGCAAATGAAAGCGTGACTGAATTTGTGGCACAAAACCGTGACCTTTTGTCTGCAAACTAAGCTGGATTTTCTCACTGTTCCTGTCCTTAGAAGCTAGACTGCAGAGTTCAGTTCCTTCCTGCATGGCCCCTTCTGTTTGCTGTCCAAAACTTATGCAACAAGTCCTCTTTTGTTTAAAGCCACTGGGCCAAGTATTAATCTCAAAGAGATGTTTCAGACTTCTAATGGGCTTTCTAGGTTTTATTTAGGTATTAGGTCAACAAATGGTGGAGGTCAAAAAAAAAAAACTTTTGTTGTTCAGTAAAAATACATCAAAGAATGTTTTTAACTCTTAATTGCACTTTTAACAACCATGTATAATGAGTACTTACTGCAACATTTTGACAAATTTAGTCTACTAGATCTCAGAATGGAACTTTTCCAAACAGTATGGCATTTCCGAGGCCAAACTGTACATATTCAACTCCTGGTCTCTTACTTTGTATTTTTTGAGGTAGCAACAAGACAACAAGACTAACACAGACAAATGTTTCTAGTTTTTATCAAAAAGGTACAAATTGTGCATTTAATTTGTTGTTACTGTAACTGTGTTTATATGCGATTATGTGAAAGTTTAAAATGAAGGAGAATGAAACTGAAACCAGGCAAACTATCAGTAGAATATCTCAGTTATGAGTGGGAGCAAATATTAGAGCCGAGGAGATCAAATCATCTAATGGTTGGATGGTAAATATATAGTCAGTCATAGAGATATGACATGATAAAAAAGGATTTCTTATGAAATCTAGAGGACCTGAACTATGAATAAAAAAGAAGGAACTGAGAGATGATCCCGAGACAGACTTTTGATGACACCAGTCTTGCCATTAAGCCACAGCTTTCTTGCATCTGCATTATCATCATCATTTCCAAAGGGACGAGGTAAAAAAAAGAATAACTATAGGACAAGTCAAGAGTTTATTGTGCTGTAGTTTATGACTGAATTCAGAAGGAAGCAGGTTTCAGCAGGTTAAATTCACAAAGAGATTTTTTTCACTCTGCATACTATGTTGGATTTTCATACATTCAAAATTTGATTTGCAGAGTACATGACATATTGGCACGGCAAGTGTTGATCAGAGCAGGACAAGTAAAGAATGGCATTTAAGAGTGGTGGAACATGAATAATATGGAAGCAACTAAACATAAATATAAATATCCTTTCTACAAAAAGTAATAATTTGTGTTTGGTTGCTGTTCAGTGCAGCAGGGGATCTCTGCAACTCCTCCAGAGTAACCAGAGTAACCCTTATCTTATGTCTCCTGTCCTTATTATTGCTCTACTTCCCTAAAACTTTTCCACCACTTCTTCCTTTGTTTTACTTGTTCGCTAATGTTCTAAAATAAGCTTGCTTTTTTTAACTGGATCAATGCCAAAAAAAAAGGTAAACCGTGGTGTAGTCATTTACTAAAGGCAGTTGTTAAGTGCAAAGTTAGATTTGATTTTATTCATGAGTAACAGTTTTTGAATATTATGCAGATATGTATTTGTAAAAAAGAATGTTTAAAAGCATGAAAAAATGTTTAAAAGCATGGCTCAGTAACCCTAAAGAACAGATCCTAGCCCCTGTTATGCTCCTACTAAAAAAAAAAAATGTTTTTCCTCAAGTGTATTTTCCCCTGATTTAAAGGTATAGTGGAGGACTTTCACCAGCCCTCTCCACTTAACAAAAACAAAAAAAAAAATGCACAGGCACAACCCTGTATTCGCTCCTGAGTGGGAACTCCTGTTAAACAGATGTAAGAGCATGAACGAGCCCATTTCTCCTCGTGCACGCTCTCTATAAAAGTTGCTGTTTGCATCCCTCATACAAGCTTACAGTACTTTCCAAAAGAAGATTTGCAATTTTTCCAATGACAGACTCACCACCGGTAAGTGCAAATGGAGACGAGCAGATAGGACGGCCCTATGTAATCATATCACCAGAATGATTGACAATTAGGAGGACCACTTATTTTGATGACCAACCCAGAAAAACCACTATACATTTAAGCAGGTAGGAAGACAATTTATGCAATAAGAGGATTTATGTATAAAATAAAACAACTCAGTTATCTTATTTCAAGTACATGATATCATATTACAGCATTTCATTTACTTGCTGTTAAATAAAAGGTTTGGGTCTAATGTTTACAAAATAATTTCCCACAGAAGAAAATGCAAAAAAAAAAAAAATAGAATGACAGTAAGTGTGAAAGAAAATACCAAGTAGTCTCTTTTTATTTTTCAAGGAGTTGGCAAGCCTATTAGCAATGGCGTAACGACACAACAATAGGCCCACAAGCAACATAATCTGGGGAGGCCCCATATGAAGTACAACACCCGCCCCCCAACCCACCCCCGCCGCCTCCACTGCCGTAGCCAACCGACCCAAAAGGTGCCCCATACATACACTCATCATTTCATCATTCTTCACCTTCACGAGACATGGATATACTTTAGTATATTCTGCTGTAAAGTGAGTCTTATCGGGCTTCCTTGAGTTTCACAGCCCCCCTCCTCACCCATGCTCTCTCCATTCATCTCCTGGTCGCAATCTTCACTCAGTTCTTTGAAAGACTGTGTTTATTTTGTGAAGTTTTTTTCCATTCTTCCAGCAGCTCTTCTTTCCTTTAGCTTTTCTGGAATTCACTTAAGTAACTCTTTTTGGTATCCATCGACGCTTACACATTATACGTAATGGTTATGGTTTCAATCTATACTCTGGATTACCCATAATTCCAAGTATTGTAAAAAAAGAAATACTCCAATACATCATACTTTTAAGATCTTTATTGTGGTTTGAAACATTTATGAGCGGATTTTTTTTTATCAACCGTCTAATGAACTATAGACAGTTATTAACATAGTAATTAAAAGTACCACTGTCTACTCTGCGTTTGGTGTCATGTTTAAACGGCTCACCATCATGTTGAAATCTGGCATGTGTTGGGGTGTAAATAAGGTCCAGTCAGTCAATCTAAAATCAGGTGGGTTTTTTGCACCATTAAATCTGCAAAGAGACATCCTAGACTACATTTGTGTAGGGGCCAACCAGATGTCAGTGACAGGGTCCCTAAGAGCTCGGGGGCCCCTAAGCAACTGCAGTCTCTGCTTACCGATTACGCCATTGCCTATTAATATATTTATTTTTTGTGTTTGTTATTTTTCTGTTCTGTGTCCCCAGGAAAAGGGCAGTGGTTCCACCCTGGCCCTCCTGGTAAATTCGGTCTAGAACCGCCACTGTGAAAGAAAAAGTGTTTTAATTCTCAGTTCTGTGCAACAGTGGGACCTTTTACCTGCTGACCTCTGCTCCCTGAAAGTATGAGCAGGACAGCCCTCGCCGGAGTGGGGCGGGCCAGTGGCTCCCCCCCAATAGGCCAATAAAAACACGGAGCTGTTTCATAACAGGATTGCAGTCAGCGCAGCTTCACCTCCGCGGCGGCATCTCCTGAATAATGGCAGCTCCGAAGAAAGTCTGCATCGTGGGCTCCGGAAACTGGCAAGTTGTTGCGTTTATGTGACGAGCTGTCAGGACACGTCAGGGTTGATGGGGCCCACTCAGCTCCTCATTAGTACCGTTAACTAGAAGCAGTCTGCAGAGGGAAGGAAGGTGAATGGAGTTAGTGGCACCATGCAGGAACCTGCTGCTTCATTAGCAGAAACAGAGGCTGTTTTCAGGCACATGATGAAAACTAATGTTCAGGAGAACTGACCGCAGCTCAGTTACCGTTAATGGGATGTTTGTCGCCCTTCAAGTTAGCCATAATAAGAGTGGGTTAGCTTAGCTGGTGCTCAATGCCAGTTCTCTATTAGGAAATCCTGAATATTGGAGTCACCGTGTAACTTTGACTCTGTTAAAGAGATTTAACACAACTTTAAGAAAAGAAGAAATGTCCGAAATTAACCGAGGAAATCGGCTTTAATTATCAGCTTTTCTTCCCTGTGAAATTAATTTTATTATTACTTTTTTGCTGGAGATGTTGCATATCACAACACATTTAAAATTGGCTCTTATGCTGACTGCTACTAGTCAGCCAAATAGAAAAATAGATTTTAAATTAGTATAATTGATCTATTAAAAGTCAAATAATAAAAAAATCTAAGGTTTAAAATACCTTTTTTTAAATGTTTTCTGAGTGTGACAGTTTGAACAAAAATTTGTACAAGATTTAAAGAAATCTAAGTAAACGTTTTGGTTGCAGTTGGATAGTTTTATTTTAAGTATTTCCCTGAAATTTGCAAGTTTCAAAGTTGGAGCACTTAACAAAAATATTATCGGAGATTAGGGCTGCAACTAACGACTATTTTGCAA